AAAAAAAAATACTAAAAGCCAGATCAAGCCCAAAGTCTATCAGAGGAGATCAAGTGACAAGGTTTTAACCATTCAAGTCAGATTGATCCTTTGAATTTACTATAGAGTCTCTGTGTGATACTCGAGTTATCCCTATCTCTCAGTCACCGGACGCTTATTCCCTGTGTAGAACCTGCACTGTTGCATTTGTCTGGGTACACTAGAGAAACAGATCCATAGACACTGATATGTATATAAGGAAGATGCTTATGTACAAGAACAATTGAATAGTGAGAAAACGTCCCAGCTCAGTCCAGATCAAGTCCATTAAGTCCAATATTAACCCATATGTCCAAAACCAATCTGTAAAGTCCTCTTCAGACTCATGAAACACATGCAATGATGCCAAATGCAGAATGTTCACAGGCCAGTGGGTGCAAAGTCTTTTGGATCCAGTGGCGGTATAAGCATCTCAGTGCTGGCAGGGACCTCCATGTGGCTTCTCCAGCATCCAGGGCTTCTCCTGGTCCCAGGGCATGGGGTCTATCAGCGTAGTGCCATGTGTCTTGTCAGTATAGCGTCTCCAAGGGAATGAACAGAGAGTCTCTCCCACCTCAAAGGAGGAAAAACCAGATTTCCCAGAATTCTCAGGAAAAAAGCATCCCCACACAGAGGCCTCATTGGCTATGATCCAATTGACAGACTAGACTCCACCACTTCACTCTTAGTCCTCACAAGTCCCACATTGACACCAGATAAGGTAACTACCACAACGATCATCCATAGCTTTCTGTACACCAGAAACTCACAATTTAAGCTCTGATACTATTCCTTCCTTTATATTTGGATTATATACTTTACAGTCTTTGGCTCACGGGTGTTAGCTCTCTTCTCTTATGGCTACTCCTGGATACAGTGTCGAATCCCTTTTGCTGTCTGGTTGCCATTCATCAGAGTATTTCAAAGGAGGTTGGTGGGATGAGATCATCTTTTCTTCAACAAAAAGAACCTTCAGCCCCATTTCATGCCCTAAACATTAAGAGAGGAATGGTGTCCAAGCAGAAAGAAGAGTGTTTGCTTTGGCACCGTGGTAGTTACATCATCTGGTGTCAATTTGGGACTTGAAAGGATTAAGAGTAAAGAGATGGAGTCTAGTCTGTGGACCAAGTCATAGCCAATGAGGTCTCTGTGTGGGCATGACCTTTTCCTGAGAATTCTGGGAACTCCTGTGTTTCCTCCTTGGAGGCAGAAGGCACACTCTCTGCTCACTCCCTGAGAGATGCTCCACTGACAAGACACATTATGGTACCAGGAGTGGGGTCCTAGAGAAACAGATCATAAAGATGGAGGGTAGATGTTTGTTTGACCTCTGCCTCATGGTAGTGTTTCTTCTTTGTCTAGCCAGAAGTCAGATATGTCCTTGCAGTTTACTGGGTTTTCTGGAAAGAATATGGGAAATTAAAGTTTTGATTCTTCTCCTTGTTTAATGTCTTTGGTTATTCCTGTTTGAAATGGCAAAAGTGAATGTGATTAATGTATATTTTGAGCTTAGGAGTAGAAATCGCCCCTTGAATAGCTCAGAGACCATTGCTAGTTAGAGAAAATGGCTAACAGGAGGCCAAAATGACTCACAGAAAGCCTGGATTTTCCTTGATAGTCTCAGAGGTGAAATTGTAATAAGGGCTATCTTAATTAGCTAGTGTCACTATAACAGAAATGCCACAAATGGATTGCCATAACAAATAGAAATGTGTTCTCTCTTCAAGGTGCCAAGTCCAGGGCAAAGCTTTCTCACTCGGTTGGCTCTGGGGGAAGGTTCTTTTGTCCTTCGTGACCTTGATGCTGCTGATCTCAATTGGCACAAAGACTGCTGAAGGCATGTGTCCTTCTCAGGGTATCCTATCCAGGAGCACATAATGATAAACCCGATAACACTTACTTTATTACAGTTGACAGTAATCCTGATACTTGCCTGAGGTGGTGTCTTGGGGGTTTCTACACTGTACAGAGTTACCATAATTCCCTTAGCAATTAATGTGTCCATTGGGCATACTTTGAGGCCTATATACTGCTCTTTTTAAAATTTTTATTAAAATCGGGGGGGCTCTTGCAACTCATACCAATCCATACATCCATTGCATCAAGCATATTTGTACATAGGTTGTCATTCTTTTCTAGACATTTACTTTCTATTGAGCCCTTGATATCAACTCCTCTTTTCCCTCCCCCACCAGCATGACCCCTTGATAGATTAAAAATTATTATTATATTCATATCATAGCGGACCGCCGATTCCCGTCTCCCATGGTTCCTGTGGTTCATCCCCCTGGAGGGGGGTGAGGGATGGTTATGTGTAGATCATTGCGATTGGTATATACTACTCCTGGGTAAACTCACAAAAACAAACTTGCTGCCACTGAGTCCATGAAGACTCCTAGTGACCCACTGTGGGTTTCCAAGACCGTGACCGTTGACAGGAGTAGAAAGTCCTGTCTTTGCCCCACAGAGCTGCTGGTGGTTTTGAACTGCCAACCTTGCGGATCACAGCCCAGCGTGTAACCATTACACCACCACGGTATATATCCATGTTAATTCTCTTTGCAGAACACTGGCAAATTCAAACAGTGTGCAGCTGCGGCTTCTCGGAAAGAGTGTAATTGCACAAATGATCAGAAGTTATCGCACGCTGTTGCCTTCTCAGATTGCAAAGAAAACGTAAGTCGCATTGTAATTACCTGAAGATAAAATGCTTTCGTTTAAGTTAATAAGATTTTGAAATGTGCTTTCTGATTAAACATGGAAAACTAACACAGAGGCCATCCGTTACCATGTCATAGAAATAAGTATTATGACACAGAGCCAAAAAGGTCTGACACATCAATTAACCGCGCCCATAAAATAAAGTAATAGCACTGTCACTGAGCTGTGTGCTTTTCCTCGTTTTTTCTTGTTTTGAGACTTACGGCATGGTTTTTATTTATAGAGTCAGCTTGTCCCTTTCCACCAAAAATACAGATAATTTATCTTCAAATGAATTAATCTCACCCAAGTAGGGAAAAAGAAAGAAAACCAACCCTGCACACAGACACACACACAGTGAGGGAGGCTCTGTATAGTAATTCCAGATTATTAAGAGAGTGATGAAATGAGTTTTAAAATTCCAGTCGGTCAAGGGGAAAAAGGAAAAATCAAATACCGTTTTCTTCTTTAGCAGACAAGAGGAAAGATAGTTGTATCCTGAAGGAAGGAATGCTTTCTCTGGGATTAGAGTCTTAAAGAAAATTTGTACAGGAGATGTTTGTGCAGGGTGTGATAACCACAAAAATACTTTGTTCATAATTAGGCTCTGGAGAACACACAGTTTGGAGCTATATAAGAAAAGGGTTCTCAGGAGTGCGATACTCTTCCCGTGTTGCTAATTGAGACTGAACCCAAAGGTCTATGGTTCAAACCCACCCGCTGCTCCACAGGAGAAAAGATGAGACTGTCTCCTCTTAGAACAATCTATAATCTCAGAAACCCATATAGGCTTGCTGTGGGTCAGAATCTACTTGACGGCAGTGGGTGTGGTGTGGCGAGTCTGTAATGTATCGGTTACGAGAACAGGTTCCATGTCAACTAATATTTCACTGGCAGCGAAGCCAGGAGCCCTGGTGGTGTCATGGATTAGGCGTTTGGCAGCAAGGTCGGCAATTCGAGGCCACCAGTCTCTCCTCGGGAGAAAGATGGAGCTGTCTGCTTCTGTAAAGAGGAAACCCAAAGAGGCAGCCCTACTCTGCGCCGTCAGGTTGCTATGAGTCAGAGCTAATGGGATGGCAGTGAGCTGGGTCTAGGTTTCAGCACCCTAGCATTCCAAGGGGAGTCACGTTACTCTCGATGTTTGCATCACAAGTGCCCAGGGTGCACTTGATACCACTTGTGAGCAGATTTACTCTCAAAGTCTATGAAAGAATATATGGATGTGCGTATATAGTAAAATACATATATACACTAAAAGCTGCCAAAGCCAGGAGCTGTGTAGGACAGAGAGGGAATATATTCTCAAAATGTATGCATACATATGCATATACAGGAGGCTCAAAGAAAAACTTGTGGAACATAGAATTAAAAGATAATAGAAATTTTCCATGAACTTTTTGAAATACATATAGCATCCAAAAGGTGATGGAAATATATGCTTCATATGAACAGACAGCTTCATCTTTCTGCCTCTGAGCAGATGGTGAGTTTGAACTGCTGACCTTGCAGTTGGTAGCCCTGTGAGTTGCACACTACACCACCAGGGCAGATAGATAGACTATCCAAAAATAACAATACCATGTCAGGTATCGAGCCACAATTTAATATATTATGAGTGTGACTGTCTACTAAGACTTCTCCATGATTTGTCTCACTCGATTCGAGGCACAGAAAAGCCTGGGGATTTACCAAAGAGCACATGTTCACATGCAATGGAGCCGATTTGAACCTGGACTTCAGAGGCTGCGTTTCCACAGTGTGGCTGACACATTGTGGCTGATGGGCAGAGTGGGATCAGGGAGCCGAACAGGGTCCAATTCATGTAGGACCTTGTGTGATGTGGTTTAGACAACAACAACAAAAAGCAAATCCCTGTGGAAAATACTACTAGAAAGTTTCGAGTTTTATTACTACCATGTTTGCTTGTTACTTGGGTAGTTAACACTGATTCTGCTGTAAGCATGTTTCTTGTTTTGCTTTTTGGTTGG